ACACACACACACGTGCACTGTTTAAAGGGCTCACTAGTTTTCAATCTACAATCACCCAAACTTTCTAGCAACGAGCTGGGGCCACCTCAGCCTCTGGACAGCCAGACTCAGGAAGCTATTTTCAGATCTTTGCTCCGTGCAGTTTCTCGTTTTCTGTCACTTCGTGGTCACAGTAACAAATGCACAGGTGTCACGCAGACCATCGCGGAGAGGAGAGAGATCTATTGTTTGCACCGTGACAGCAGATACACAGAACACCGATAGCAGAGCTTCGGTGTGGCTCTTATGGGCCTGGGATGTTTTGTCTGAAGGTCATGAGTAAGGACCCATCAACAGGCGGAGCTGAGCAGAGAAGACACGGTGACACGCGCGGGGCAGGGGCCTGCAGGCGGTCTGTGCTTGGAACAGGAGGAGGAGGAGGAACGTGGAGAGGGGAGGAGCGAGGTCCCAACACAGTTGCACCGGCCAGGTGACCCTTTCAGGGCAGGAGGCCCTCAGGGCTGTCTACCGCAGTTCTGAAGGGGACACTGACCCACCTTGCCGTCCCCTCTGACGAAGGGGTGACCACCCGGCATCGTCTGATGCATGCGTGGCGGGACTCAGAGCCTGGGGGCTCAGAACTCGGGGGGCACCGGGGAGGCTGCCAGCTTCTCCAAATGCTTCTTGCAAGAATTCAAAATCCTTGCAGAAGCAACCATCTGACCTCGTCTTCCATGCTGCTCTGCACACATTTTGTGTGACCAGATCAGTCCTCACCGGAGGTGGTGCTTTGCGTGGTTTCTGTCCAGGTTCCTCACTGTTCTCACGTGGACACAGCTCGGAGGCGGCGTCAAGGTCAGGCGCCGAGGATGAGGCTGACTGTTCGGGGTGCCTGGCCCCTGGCAGGCACAGCTCCTTCCTCACACCTGGGCTCTACCCCTGAGAACCAGCCCCCCAAATTCTGTGAAAGGCAGGGACCCAGTAGAAGGGAGAGGCGTGTGGACCCAAGCTCTGGGGCGTCCAGTGGGCCAGCTGACCTTTCCCTTCTAGTCTTGCTTTGCAGACGTGAGTGCTGAACAAAGGTGCAAACTACTCCTGATCCGACACGTTTTATGCTTTGTATGATTTAGGGCTCTCTGAGCTAAATGACGGCAAGGAGCCAATAGAAAAATGAGTTAGACAGACGGGATTTTAATTCCTAAATGCCTTTCATCAGCTCCTATCTTTTTTTTTTAAGATTTATTTATGCATACAGAACTGGGGTACAGGTCAGAGGATCCACCAGAGACAGAGTGGGGAGCAGAACAGGCAGATCGACGAAGCCCACTGCTGAGGGGCGCAGCGGGCGGGTCAGGAGAGGTCTGCCGCGCCCTGGGGTCGCCTCCCTGGCCGGCCTCGAACCTGCTGAAATGGCTGCAGCTGGCTTCGTAGTGCTGTGCTTTAACCTGGAGTGCCACCGGGAGGGGGGCCCGGGAAGTCTTCTTGAGTAGATTTTACATTAATCAATGAAGAATCGCTGAGTTCCAGGCACGAGGGACGCTGTGGGGGTCCTTGTGAGAAGCTAATACTGTGACCCCGCCCCACTCTGCTGGGGCGGGCAGCTCCTTGAACCCCAAAGATGTAGGCAGTTTTACTCATTGGGGGTGCTGGTGACTTTAAAAAGAGGCCACGTTGGGCCCTCCCTGGTGGCGCAGCGGGTCAGAGTGCAGCACTGAGAAGCTGAAGCCACTTCTGCATGAGTT